AGCCAAGAGTTCCGAAAGATGCGTGCGTCATGCTTCTTTCCGGGCCAGCCTGTGTTAATGTCAATGAAACGCCCACGGTGATCCACAAGCGCCTGGAGAACCATAGAGAAATACCCCTTCCGATTAACATACTCGGATCCTAGGTGGGGTGGTGCCAGAATAGGAATGTGCGTCCCATCTATCGCCACTCCACAGTTAGGGAACCCCATTTGTGCAAAGCCATCCACTATTTCCTGCACGTTACCCAGAGTCATGGTTCTTCGGAGTAGGATGCGATTAATGACCTTGCAAACTTGCATCAACGCGATTCCAACGGTCGACTTTCCCACTCCAAACTGGTTTGCGACCGACCGGTAGCTGTCTGGAGTTGCCAGCTTCCAGATTGCAATAGCCATCCGCTTCTCCACTGGCAGGGCAGCTCTCAATCTCGTGTCCTTGCGCCGCAGGGTGGGGGCAAGCTCCTCACACAGTCCCATGAAAGTGGCTTTTCTCATCCAAAAGTTCTGCAGCCACTGCTCGTCATCCCAGACTTCCATGATTATGGGATCCCACCACTCGGTGCTTGTTTCCCGAGCCCAAAAGCGGCGTTCCACGGTGCTGAGCATGTCTGTGAATGCCACAAGCAATTTCATGTCGTACGCGTTACGTGGCTCGATAGCATCGTCGGACTCCTTATCCTCACTGTCACTTTGGATCTTAAGGAATAGTTCGACAGCCAAACGTGACGTGCTGGCGAGACTCATCAGCATACGCCTCAGCAGTTCGGACTCTATTTCCCGCAGACAGATCGCGCTGCACAGAAACCGTTGAAAGATGGCGCCAAAGGTGGACGGAAATAAAGGGATTTCTGGGATGCGAAGCGATGCATCACGGGGCATTGGGACAGGACCCAGAATCCCCCGCACCCACGCCCCCTTCCCACAACCCATGGCGCCAGAATGGGAAAAGGTGCTCTGTGGGATAGCTGCCCATAATGCACCGCTCCCAATAGCGCTGCAGTTGCCGCAAATATGGCAACAACAGTGCGCTGGGCAGCTGTCAGTGTGGACAGACTGCAGCGCTTTCCCTACTCAGCTGCACGAAGTCAGGTTTAACTCACAGCGCTGTACATCTGCAAGTGTAGCCAAGGCCAAAGAGAAGAGTATGGGAGAAGGAAAGCCAGTTAAAGGACAGAGAAGGAAAGTATAAAGAAGGGTCAAAAGGGCAATTAGAAAGGAATATTACTGCTACCCACTGAGCAGCTACATGTGCTAATGTAACCCATGTGCCTAATAGGGAGATATCTCCTTAAGAGACCCACTGTGAGAAGG